CAGGCTCATGGCTAGATCATCAAATGAATCCAAGGTTGCCAGGCAATATGGCAGGTTTCTAATAGCTCCCAGGGATAATAGACAACATGGCAGACCAGAGTTTGATGAGACAGATGTAAGACTCAGACCAGTCAAAATAGACAAGCATTTCCACAGAGTCTGCTTAAATAGGAGTAGGCCACCCCCCCACCCCCCACCCCCTAGGGAAGTTCCTTCAATTTCTTCAAGGTTGTGACCTGAGCAAGGAGGCTACACTCCTCCTTAATCCTTTTACAACTGCTTTGTTGCCCAGAGCAGATCCCATTATGAAGTTGATTACGCTGTTTTGTCACATCATGGAGAATCACCAAGTCCTAACTGCCAAACCACAGAGAACCCATGTTACCACAAAATCCAATTATCACAGACACTGATATGCCAGAGGAAGAAAAGCAGAAGTGGCTCAGAGCTCTCAACAGATCTGCAGCAGAAATCTACTAGAATGCAGGATTCCTCATTTGTCTAAAACTCAGCACCACAAACTATTCATCTTAGATATGTTAACCTTATTCTCTAGAGAGCAGAATTCACTCTTTCACAGAATTTATTAATTTTTATAAATCATTTTATTGGGTTGTTAAGCATCTCCTATATGCCACATACCATTATATAGCATAATTATGGCTGGGCATTTTTGCAAAGAAGCTGGGAAAGCATAGTCCTAGGGCGCATTTATTCACTTGTTCATCAAGCATCTGGGATGCACACCAGAGTAAGATTCTAAATAGGTCATTTACATGAGGAAGAAACAGGCCATTAAAAATTGGAGCTACAGTAAAAAATAAATAAATAAATAAAATTAAAAAAATAAAATTGGAGCTACAGTGTGATAAGTTTAACCATAGAAAAGCTCACATTACAGTCCCCATTCTGGATTCCGAATGCCAGGAAGTCTTAGTTTAAGCAAGCACCTATTTAACGTACACTGTTGTTAGGTGCCATCAGAACAGTTCCAACTCAACAACAGCATGGAACTGGACCTTTTATATTTGAGTCGATTGTTGTATCCACTACAATCATTTCCTTGATGATCTTCCTCTTTTTCTTCCACTTTACCAAGCATGAGGCACTTCTCCAGAGACTAGTCTCTCCTGATAACATGTCCAAAATACATGAGACAAAGCCTTGTCATCCTCACTTCCAAGGAGCATTCATTCTGGCTATCCTTCTTGCAAGACAGATTTTGTTCATTTTTCTAGTAGGACATGGTACCCTTAACATTCCACACCAACACCATAATTCAAATGCATCAGTTCTTCCTTCTTCTGAGGCAACTGAAAATACCATGACTTGGGTCAGGCACACCTTAGTCTTCAAAATGATGCCCTTGCTCTTGAACACTTTAAAGAGGTCTTGTGCAACCGATTCGCCCAATATAATAATGATTTGCTTTCTTGACTGCTACTTCCATGAGCATTAATTGTGGATGCCAGCAAAATTAAATCCTTGACAAGTTCAAAGTTTTCTGTTTATTCTGATCTTATTTATTGGTCCAATTGCGAGGATTTGGGTTTCTTTAACTTAAATTGTAATACATACTTAAGGATGGAGTCCTTAATCTTCATAAGCAAGTACTTCAAGTCCTCTTTGCTTTCAGAAAGGAAGGTTGCGTTATCTGCATAGGCTGTTAATAAGACTTCTTCAGATCGTGATGCCTCATTTTACTTCATGTAGTCCAGCACCTCAAAATTATTTGTTCAGCCGACAGATTGAATAAGCATAGTGAAAGGATACAACCCCGATGCACACAGTCCTTGGTTTTAAACCATGAAGTATTTCCTTTCCTTTTCCTACCTCTCATTCTATATAAAGGTTATGCATGAGCAGAACTAAGTGTTCTAGAATTCCCAATCTTCTCAATATTACCCATTGTTTCTTATGATCCACATAGTCAAAAGCCTTTGCATAGTCAAAAGTAAACAACCAAATATCTTTCTGGTATTGTATGCTTTCATTGAGAAGTATTTGACATTAAATATAGTGTTATGTGAATTTTTGGAAATGGAGCCACTAGAATGAAAATGAGAATGTTGACACAATGTGACATAACTGGTGTCACTAAGCATTTGTGTAGAAATTGTTGAATGAAAACCTGTTTTGTTGTGCATGTTTTCACCAAAACTACGATAAAATATTTCAAAATGTGCATACAGTGTTATGTGCTGGCAGAATAGGAATCAAAGAAATATAAAGTAAGGTTCCTGTCATTCAAGAATTTGTATTCAACTTAAAGAAAAATCATATATGCACATGAATCCCTAATTAGATAGGTAACCTTTTCAAAACTTGTCATAAGTTTGGTGGCTAGTTAGCTTAGTCAGTAAAATATGAGACTCTTAAAAATTGCCAGAATTTGTAAAACTTTCCTGTCATGTAATCATTTATTCATTCATTGAAAATATATGACATGCCTTCTATAACAGGGCTTCAAAAAGTTCATGGGAAAATCCCATTATCTTTTCATTCTATTTTCCACAAACTTTCTGAATCCCTCGTTTAACCCTGATATTTTTTGGTATTGGAGATGTGCTCTTGTGGCTCAGCATCATCGAGTTGGTTCTGATTCACAGACACATGTTCAACAGAATGAAATACTGCCCAATCCTGTCCATCTTCACAACGATTGCCATGCTTTCATGCATGATTGCATACACAGAGTCAGTTCAAAATGTTGAGGATCGTCCTGATTTCTTTTTTGTTGTTGTTGCTAATCCTCTATTTGCCAAGCATGATATCCTTTGCAGACACTAGTTCTCCGGATAATGTTCTAAATATGTGAGATAAAGTCTGGCCATCCTTACTTCTAAGAAGGAAACTGTTATGTATTTCAAGATAGGTATGGTCATTCTTCTGGTGGTCTACAGTCAATCCCATATTTTTGACCAACACCGTAATTCAAATGCATCAGTCTCTCATTTTCCTTAATACAATATTCATGAGAATAGACTTAACATAGCAATGAATGCCATGAAGAAAATAAAACTGGGTAATAGGACAAAGTGTCAAAGAAGAATTTTCCAAATATTTGATTGGAATCCAAATCTCAAATGTGTTTGAGTTGCAAGTAACAGCAATTATGAAATACCACTTCACACCAACATTGATAGCAAAGTTTAAAAAAATAACAAAACAAAAAATAAATAAATGCTGGGGAAGGTGTGCAGTGATTAGAACCCCCTACATGGCTGATGGGGCTTTAAAACTGTACAACCACTGTGGAAAGTGGTCTGCACTGCCTAAAACAATAGGAAATAGAAATATCATATGATCTAGCTATTCCTTTACTTAGTATATACTCTAAAATTGTCAGACCCATAGTACAAACAGATATGTCACGCCAATGTTCAGTGCAATACTACTCACAATAGCAAGAGAGTAGAGACAACCAAAAAGCTCACCAGTGAAAGTAAAGATAAATAATCATTAGTACGTACACATCATAGAATATTCTGCATCACTAAATAATAATGATGAATATACAACTCTTTTTAAAAGCAACTTAACTATGAAAAAACAAGAATAATGATGAAAGTGAAATACCTCATGATATGGATGGATTTGGAGGACATGATGCTGAATGAAATTAGTAAATCACAAGAGAACAAGTATATTTATGAGACCGTTGTTATAAAAGAAAGAAAAATTAAGATGAAGACTTTCGTACCAAATGAAACAAACTTTGATTTTTACCAGGAGTGGGAGGGAAGAGGAAACAAGAAGCCATGTTAACGTGAGTGAAGAGGCAGGTACTATTCTACAAGAAGGAGAAGAGAAAAAAGGAAAAAAAGAGGAGGGAGCAAGGCAAGCTATTGGGAAGTTTGATAAGTAGTTTTAAGTTGCTGAATATAAAAAATAGTGATCTGAAATCTAAATCCCAACTTAATTCACAATAAAAGAGTAAAAAATAAAATTATTTATGATTTCAGAAAGCCTATATGGGATTTTTATGAGGCTCAATCAACTCCATGGCAGTGGACTTGATTTTGTGGATATTCAATGTAATAAGTGCCCCGATTTAGGAAGTCAAGGAGATATGTTGTGGTGGTGGTTGTTAAGTGTTATCCAGTCAGTTCCAACTGGTAGAGATTGTGTGTCCAACAGAGTAAACCACCATGAGGTCCTGCTACATCCTCACAATTGTTTTGATGTTTGACTCCATTGTTGCAGCCACTATGTGTTCCTCACTTTACCCAGCATGAAGGATACCCTTCGCCAAGGGCTAGTCTCTTGTAGCAACAAGACCAAATTACATGAGGTGAAGTCTCACCATCCTTTCCTCTAAGGAGAATTCTGGTTGTACTTCTTTCAAGACAGATGTGTTTATTCTTTTGGCAGTACCTCTTGGTACTTTCAATATTCTTCAGCCAGCAACATAAGTCAAACGCATCAAGTCTTCTTTGGTCTTCCTTATTCCAGGTCCAACTTTCACATATATATGAGGTGATTGAAAACATTATGCCTGGGTCAGGTACATATTAGTTCTCAAAGTAACATCCTTGCTTTTCCACACTTTAAAAAGATCTTGTGCAACAAATTTACCCAAGACAATAGTGTCATTCGATCTTTTGACTGCTGCTACCATGAGCAATGAGTGCGGATCCAAGCAAGATGAAATTCTTGATAACTCCAAGCTTTCTCCATTTATCATAATGTTACTTACCTATTGGTCCAGTTGTGAAGATTTTGGTTGTGGGGGAGGATGGTGGAGGGTAGAAAGAAGGGACAGGAAATTATGGAGGGAAGAAAGATAGAAAAGAAAAAAAGAAGAAGAATCAGATATACAAGGGGTTTATTGGGATACTTTTCTGATATGGTTTGATGCAATGAGCTACGCAGCTACATAGAATGAATACGTTTTTCTTTGTAAGTATATTCCACAAACAAAAAGGGGGGACTAAAATATATTAATTATTAATAAATTTACCTTTTTTCAGAAGAAAAAGAACTGTCCCAGCCTTTAAAGCCTCTAGATTCCTTGCCTATTAGATCTAAACATTGGTCTGAATGGCTATAAAAAGAGGAAAAGTAAAACTGAAATGGACTTGGATTCTTTTGTGACAATCAAGTTCATTTCAAACAAAGACCATAATGAAGAAGACAAAAATAGCCATATGCTTTCAATATGATTTTCTGCAATGGTACCAGATTAAGATTATTCAATGCCAGGTCCTATGAAGTTTAGCACCTCTCACTGTGTTTTCATTCATTCCAAATCATAGTACATGCTATATAACTGGCTCTGAACTAAGAACAAGGAATGAGCAAAATGCAACCAGGCTTGTGAGAAATTGTTAATTGGTCTTAAGTAGGCACAAAGGTATAGGAACCCTGATAGCATAATGGGTTACACAGATGCAAGATCAACTGTTTGAAACTACTAGCTGCACCAATGGAGAAAGATGAAGCTTTCTACTCCTGCAAAAAATTACAGTTTCAAAAGCTGACATGGGCAATATGATTCTATGTGATGGTATCACTATGAGTCAGATTCAACTCAATGACAGTGAGTTTGGTTTTAATTTGGAGACACAAAGGTAAGAGAGACTTACCACACTGCCCATCAGGTGAGCTTGCATATGTGTAACTGTTTACTCTGGAAACAGATGCCCAGATTAGGAAAGAGAAAGAGAAGACAGTGTATGGGGTTAAAAAGTATGGCACCGGCCAAATTATTCTAATTGTATTAGTTAAAAGGCAAAGGTAATAGTCAGCGAAGACAGAAAAGTGGTTTTCTATTTCCAACAAATAGGAGAAGCACATAAGGAGAAGCATTCCCTGAGAGCAAAGAATTCTGGCTCCAACTATGGCCCAAATTGAGAAAGAGTAGCATGGAAATAGTCAAGAATACAAAAAACACTAGGATGAGAGATCAATGCTTTTGTGACAAATAGTTATTTCATCTGCCATTACTAAAGAGGCTGGAACAAATCCAGTTATGGTGCAGAGGGTAAAAGACCCAGAAATAGAAAATGCAACTCCTTCTAATACCAGTAGCTATTGAGTAGATTCCAACTCATGGCAACCCCACGGGTATCAGAGTCGAAGTGGATCCATAGGTGTTTGACTGGCTGAGTTTGAGAAGTGTATTCACTATGCTCTTTTTCTAAGGAGTCTATGGTTAGACTCCAACCCCCGCCTTTTAGTTAGCAAATGAGTGCATAAGTCTTTGAGCAGAGACTAAACCAATAAAGGCTAACTATGTGGAAAGTAGAACATACTAAGTGGTTGTATGTTAATATGATTGAATGCTTAAATTGTATGATATGTGAAGTATATACTAATAAAACTATTTTTTCTAAAGATTAGCATACATGTATAAATATAAGGTAATGCTTTGTTTCTTCATAAAAATTATCTACCAGGAAGAAGAGATATGTGGTCATGTACTTTAATCTGAAGAACAAATTACTGAATCAGAACTAGACTGGGTAATATGGGACTGGGTTCATCATGGAAGTCAATTGATACTGTTAAAAAGTATTTTTAAAAGATATTTAAGATAGACTTAGAAAGTAGTCCTGAATATATAACTTCACAAACCCAAGCGTCTTATTATTTGTAAACAAGCCTTTGAAAGATCACCCAGAACAGCAATTCAGAACATTCACACCAGCGGGCCAGATACTTGACAAACAACACTCTTGAATGAAACAAACTAAAAGTTGAATTGGCGTACTAAAAACATGAAGGGGGCAGGGGAGGGGGACTGTTTAAGTGCTTCGCTGGGCTGAGATGGAAGGAAGGATTCTCCAGAGGCCAAAAAGAGAGAGAAATGAGGTCTTGGAGAGATTCTGCTGAACTTGGCACTGACACCTGTTCCAAGTGGGTGTTCTGGGACACCTGTTCTGGGAGTGGGGCCTGCAGAGGGTGCTAACATGATTTTCCCACATAAAACCAAGACCCTGACAGGACCTAACCCTCAGTGTAATGAACAAAAAGAAATAAGTCTAATGTCCTGAAAGGAATCAGAAGAAAACAACTTTGGATGAAGGCAAAGGGACAAAACCTCCTCTGAGAATATATAATCACCAGCCAACCTTCACCTGAGTGTGCAGTCTGAATTTCCCATGTGATCCTCAAACACTTCAAGAATAAAATGTAATATAAAGTAGTTCCCATCATCTAAAGTCATAGGTTGGGTTTTTACATGAAGACAACTGTAATTATATCTTATTGAGAAATAAACTTTCCCTTTGTTCACAGAAAGGAGCTCTGGTGGCACAGTGGGTTAAGCATTGGGCTGCTAACTGCAAGATAAATTATTTGAACCCACCAACCAAACCATGGGAGAAAAATGAGGTTTTCTGCTCCTGTAAAGAATTACTGTCTTGGAAATCCTCTGAAGCAGTTCTACCCTGTCCTAAATGGTTACTTTAAGTCATAATTAACTCAACGAGAAAGAGTTATTACACAGTCATATTTTATTATCAGGAGTGTCTAGTGGGCTTTTTTGCTTCTGAGCTACATGGCCGTTTGTAGCTTTTAAGACCCCAGATGGTATATCTTTTTCTAGCCAGGCACCATCAGCTTTTTTCACCATATTTGCTTATGCACATGCTTTGTCCTCAGCGATCGTGTCGGGAAGGTGACCATCATGGAATGCCAGTTTAATAGAACAAAGTGTTCTTGCATTGAGGGAATACTTTAGTGGAGGCCCAATGTCCATCTGCTTCCTTAATACTAAACCTATTCATATATGGGTTTGGGCCGTTCAGGACTAGGCAGCCCCCATC